GGATACTTATATTAATTTCTAAAGTTCAACTTAGAATGTAAAACATAAAGCTATTTCTATCTTCTATAAAATGAAAAATGAATTTAATTCGCGCGGCCCACGCACGCACACACGTGACCCACCGGCGTGGCCCACGCGGGGCGCGGCCCAACCGCGCGGCAATGGCCCACGACCGGCAACTTCGCAAAAAACCCCTTGACCTACCGATGATTCACCCCGAGGTCCGCAATACTATTCCTACAAACTGCTCTTTTACAAATACACCCCTCCCCATTCACTTCTTTACCATGGGCAGGTCCTTCGGCCACCCCCGCGAGCACCGACATGGCGGCGACGGCACAGGACCGCCACGTCGACCATCCTGACCCCTTCCTACCCCCTCTAAGGGGCCGATGCTCACCTAGATGCCGACATGAAGCGGTGGGCAGTGAAGAGATGAACAGGGACGCGTCCAGGAGCTCCCTCTACGACGACGACCAACTTGCAACGGCGGCAACCCCATTTAGTCGAGCTCCGCCACCGGAGAGGAAATACGAACGACGGAGGAGCATTAGGGTCTCACCACGATCCTACACGACATGGTGGTGCGGCCGAAGATTGCCCTAGTCGAGCCGGCTACGTGCGCGTGGCAAGGGCGATGGTGGACTGCGGAGGCGCGGCCATGTCAGCGCCGCGAGGGGAGTAGTGATGGCGCGGCTCAGATGCGCACGCCAAGAAGGACTGCGAGGCGGGGCTAGGGGTGCAACCAATTTGGCTCGGGATGACAAGGTGGGTAATGCCCACGGCAACGGTGGGCTTAGCCTTTAATGGCGCGACGGTGGAAGCCTAGCTCCAAATTGGAGCTTGCCAAGGCGTGGTTGGACACGGTGTGGGGTCGGTCGGCTAGCTGACTCGAAGGCGGAGTCAGGAGCGCACCGAATTGAAGGGACATGACTCATCCATGCCGGATTGATGGCGTGGCCAGTTGGCCTGGGCAGCAGAGGAAGGAGGGAAAAAGGGATGGGTCCAGCTGCCTGTCCGAGCTTTGGTGGGGCGCAACGACCGCACACGTGCAAGCACTGTGAGCCAACACAGCCAGGAGGGAAACATGCACGCGTGCAGGTGGTGGCAGTGCAGCAGAGCGGCCGTGGCACCGTTAATGGAGAAACGACATGCGAGTGGCCTCAGCAAACCCACGTGCATGAAGTCGGGATGGGCAGCGATGCAGAGGCACAGGCGGACGCGACGGCAACGTGCTGTGGCACGGTGGTGACAGCGTGGTGCAGCGAGCTGGCGTGCAGCGCGGTGATGGGACGGCGGCGGCGTAGCGGCACAGGCGGACGCGACGTAAGCGGCGTGGGTTCGCGCGAGCAACCCAACACGCACGACTGTGGCCAATAGCAGCGGCGACCCGACGCAAGCAGCAGGCCACAGCCAGGCGGGGACGGCCTCGACCGGCCAGCGCACGAGGCCATGCGTGCGACGCGGCGGAGCACGCCCAACAACCAAGCGTACATGGATGACCCCACGGGCACCAGCAGTGACGCCAACGAACGCGTGCATCGCGACAGCGAGGAGGAGCAGTTGCACACCCGAGTTGCCGGCCACAGTGACTAGCTGGGCGCAGCCAGACACGCGCTTGCGCGACCGGCGCGCCGATGACGGCACAGGAGCGCGGTGACCGCGTCAACGTGGGGAACCCGACCCAGAATGTGTCATGCATGCTTTTTAAAGCGTCCTAAAAATCCAAATGGTTGATTCAATCGCCAAACCACCTATGTTATACTTAAGAGGGCATGTTAGGCTACTAAAACAAGCCCTAAAACCACACCACTCCTTAACCCAATTACTCTACAAAAATTGCCAAACCTAGCTTTGTCAAACCATTTTTTAGCCTTAGGAATTTGACTAAGTCGTGATCGGATTCGCGTCAAATTCGATTTCCAAGCTATTAGACCAGTTAGCTAGTGAATTCATTATTCGACCGCAGGTATTTCTTCGTCATCTACAAAGTTTGTACTTCTAACTTTATTAAAGGTCCATATATACGTTCTATAGTGTTTTCGTTCAACAAAAATTCACGAACTTTCTTACTTGATAATCTCATAAGTCACGAACAACCTTTCGTTATGCATTTTCGTTGGTCGTTTTAAGTTACGAAAATTGATCTACACACTTTATTACATACATTAACACGTAAATATGATGCCCATGCAGTGTTTTAGCAAATAATTTATAGTGTAACACCGAGGGTGTTACAAATTACATGATTAAAGGTGTATAGGACAACAAGAAAGATCACATGCTATACTTGCCTTAAATTTAGATCCTTCTTCTATTGAATTATAACCTTCAAAAGACTTCTTCTGGATCACCAACTTCTTTTATATCATCAACGCAAAGCTCACCGACTGGACATGACCATAAAGCACCACACAAGTATCCATGCAATCATACACGAAGCAAATAATAGATCTAAATTAGAACAATACACCAAACATAATAAACAATAGGTAAAGCGGTTTTAAAGATTACTACGAACATGACGCAAAAAGCACTCTAATCGGAGCTATAACGAAAAAAAGTTATGAATTAAACAAGATTTTCTTTAATAAAATAATAGATTAAATTTAACCTCAAATTTCAAAAGTTGAAAATATATTTAACAATAGGATGAACATATAGATTACTCAATTACGAATCTAACGCAACTTGAACGGGTCAAATCGGAGTTAAAACGGAGAAAATATGAGCAAAACAAAATCGGTGGCAATTTTATAATTATTTTGAACTCATTTTTAGTTTTAAAATAAAAGAAAATGAATTAAAACTTCTCTGTGGACTTGGCTTCGTTTTTAGGAAAACTGTAGGGGTCAAAACATAAGATCCAGGGCTTGGATTGAATTATTTTGAACTACACTGGACGACGGGTTCTAATACTATAAAAGGGAGGGGCTCTTTAGTAAAACCGCCACAGCGAAGGGGTACGAGCGATCTTGGACCGTTTTATTGAATCCGGACAGCCCAGATTAGAAAGGAGGGGAAGAGAGAGACGCCGGTGGCGAAACAGTGCCAGGCGCGGCGGCTGGCCATGGTCGGCGGAGAAGCTTGAAATCGGTCCAAGAGACCACTATTCGGCTCGGGATCTGTACTGGGAGTTAGAGGGGACCACGACAAAACTAACACTGCGATCTACGATGGCTAAGAGTGGACGGAGGTGGCTGGCGGCAAGCACCAGCGACGACGACGCGGTTAAGGCAAAGCAAAGCAAGACTGAGAGAAAGAAAAGGCTTGGCGTGCTCGAGAACGCGACGCGAAGCTCGGGGAGGCACTTACGAGCACGGAGGAGCAACTAATCATCACGGCGGCGTAGAGCTTCTTCACGGCGAGATCTCGACGGCGGCGCTAGGGCACAGGGCGGCATAGCGGCTCGAATTAGGGTTGGGATGGAGACGGCTGACACGGGGCTCGATATTATGAGGGGAAAAAGCTTGGGGCTCACGCCAAGGCGAGGAATCGTGGCGGCGGCGGTGTTCGACGCGGATACGGCGCGAGGTAGAAGACAACGCCGACTGACATGCGGGCCCGAGGTGTCAGCGACAGAGCGAGAGAGAGGGTGGCGTCCGCGTGCTGCTGGGCCGCGGGGCGCGCTGGGCCGAGGGAGAGGGAAGCGACACTGCGGCTTAGCTGGGCCGCGCGAATGAAAGGAAGGTCGAGCGGCCTTCGGGCTGCAGAGGGGAGGCGGGCTAAAACCAAAGAGAGTGAGGAGAGAGGAAAAGAAATTTCTTTTATTTTATTTCAAAATCATTTTCAAACTCTTTTCAAAAGCATTTCAAATTGTTTTGGAGTTTTGGATCAACACCACTCATCACAATAAACTTTATGCACCAGCATGTATGCACAATAAGTTGCTAAACCTTATGATATATTTTAATTTGATAAAAAGTTTTATTTATCTACATTTTCATGAGCACATAAAATACCAAAATAAATCGTTTTAATCCTATTTCAAAAGTTCAAATTTTAGGGTGTTACATGGCATTGGCAAAATGCTTACTAGTAGTTGATAAATTATCATGGTTGTTCGCACGTCTACTCACGCATCTCGCTAAATGCTAAATCGCCTTTTTTTTTTTTTCAAAAAGAACAAGATTGCTTAGAGCTGAATAAACTGGACACTGCCATGGCTGACGAAACATGACATGAAGCTCTTGTAGTGACGAGAGAGGTTGCAGATAAGATAATCGGTTGGATATTAATTTCAATCCACGAGAGGTTATGTTAGCTACACCTGTGACTCATCGTGATAGAGACATGTGACACATGCAACACGAACGGGAAGGCGGCTTTTCTGAGCGTGGCTTGTGTTGCTGTCACTCTTGCCACACCAGAGAGCAAAACTTAAAGCCCATGTGCTGACATGGAACACTACCGAACTTGTTTGTAATTCAGACAGCCCTGCTACAGCGACCTATGTACAGTAGATCACGCCCAGCTGTCTTAACCGAGCCCGTTCTCAAATTTTCGGTGTACAATGGAGAGCCTGAACGCCTCGGAAGGCAATCAGAGATTGCATGAACATAATGTAGAACAAAACCTCAGTATTGTTCATGTCAGCCTTTCCAATATCGGCATGCTTATCCAGAAACCGGCTTGTTTTTTTCAGCTGGAATAGTGTTTTCCTCTCAAAACAATTCAGTCCAAAACAATACGTTTTTCAGGTCATTTTAGCCAAGATTCACCAAGCCGAACGAGGCCACATGAAAAAAAAACTGGAGAAAAACTTCATGAACTTGCTAGGACACATTCCCGGTTATCACATAGCATGGGAACTCCAGGCCACCATAATGGTGGATTACTTGTTAGTAGCAAATATTCCGAACTGTATACAGTCGTCTACATCCTACACATGGCACAAGTGAAACCTTTTACAGAACTTGAAGCTCTTACAAGCCACATATGGCCCTCGTTAAGGGTCAGAAATAGGCTTTTTGATTTGATACAGGCAAAAGAAGAGGCTCTCAGTCTGAATCTTCAAGCTTTTTGATGGCATCCTCTATTGCAGGTACAGCATTGCAAAATGCTTCCCACTGCTCCATCGTCATACTAATACCTGCACCAGGAAAAATGTACGTAAAAAAGAGAAGAAAGGAGATAAACAACGACACGAAAACAAGCACACCACAACATAAAACAAAGAAATGAAAAGGTTACCCTACGCAGTGACAGATTGAAAAGCTAATTGTTGTATTTGCAGTGTTTCTCTATAAATAAACCCAACGTTTACGAAAATATGGATACGTAATAGCCACAGGTAAATGACAACAGACAACACTGAAAAAATGACCTCATGTCGATATCGCTATTCAGTTCTAAATTCTCTCCTACTTAAAACATTTGTAGTGGAAGGGCGGGCCTGGTGCAACCGGTAGAGTCTTACCGCTTGTGACCGGAAGGTCCCGGGTTCGAGTCATGGTCTCCTCGCATTGCACAAGCGAAGGCAAGGCTTGCCACTGACACCCTTCCCCAGACCCCGCACAGAGCGGGGGCTCTCTGCACTGGGTACGTCCTTTTAAAACATTTGCAGTGCTTCCGATCACTCTTCGTCCATCGCCCACGTCAATTGGCACCGACAGGTGGGCCCTTGAGTCCCTCCCTCATCCGTGAATCCCCTTCCTCGCTCTGTTGCTCCTGCCTTACCGCCTGCACGTGCCTCCAACCCTCCACGGCTCCACCTTTGCCTCCTGCCTCACCCGCCTCCGTGATGGTCGCACCCGCTCGCGCCTCTGCCATGCCACCTACCGCGCCTCACTTAGTGACAGCAGCACCCACCCACGCCTCCGCCCCGCAGCCAACCGCGCCCGCTACTCTGGTCCCATGGGATACGCCGCCGCCTACTACCCGCCGCTCGAGATACCCAAACCTCTAGGCATAGATACGGGCCAGGTTGGTGATGGATGAGGGGGAGTAGGGAGGGGATGACACCAGGGTGGAGCTAAGTGACAAGGTGGCCGCGGAGGGGGAGGACTGGTTGCCGTGGAGGCGGAGGTGGAGGTGATTCTATTGTCGCCGGTCCCCAATCCCACCTGGACATCCCGCATGCTGTATTTCTGCCTGGGTCAGTCGGTTGGACCTTGACTACCATTTGCCCTGTCTCTTTGCCTTGCACCTTGCACGGCAGCAGCGACCCTATAGCAGTGCCCTTGGACAGCGACAAAGCCCTTCTAGAACACCTCCTTCCTTTATCCACCTACTATCTTTTGATTTTTAGTAAAACCATGATTTTGAGTATAGGGATGCAGCACTAGTAGAGAAAGCAGCTTTAGTCCCGGTTCCCAACCCCCTTTAGTCCCGGTTATGGGAACCGGGACTAACCAGGACTATGAAATCGGGACTAAAGGTCTCTATTTTTAGTTTATTGGGTGAAAAAAAAGGTGCGGGTGTGGAGATTCGAACTCAAGACGTCCCACTTCAACCCTTGCACGCGTTGCCATCTCAACTCAACCACACATCTGACTTAGATAAGATATGCTTTCCTTTTAAATTCACTCTAGAGGCACTTTAGTCCGGGTTTGAGACACAAACCGAGACTAAAGGTTTAGTCTCGTGTCTGAAACAAGGTTCGTGTCTCAAACTGGGACTAAAGCTTCCCACACTGACACGCCTTGGTTTCCGTTACAACCGGGACTAAAGGGTGAAATTGGTCCCAGTTTGTATTACAAACCGAGACTAAAGGTCCCAGTCCTCCCTTTAGTTCACGGTTGCAATTTTATACCGAGACTAAATACTTTTTGGCCATGGATGAAAGGTCGTTTCTCTACTAGTGCAGGCTGGCGGAGTCACATGATTTGTAAAATGTATGCCTGTAATGGTGGTTTGAGGTAAGGAGAGGATAGGCACGATGGCAACAGTGGGCTGTCGCTGGGTGCAGGTGGTTGTGTAGCGTCAACGTCGGCGCTGGGTGGCTCCTGCTCCTTCTGTGTTGCGACATGGAGTGTTCGTGGTCAAGTGCTCCGATGATGCCCACTACCTCAAGGACGATGCTCAACCAGCTACAGTTGCAGGTAGAAATGCCTGCTACCTCATGGAGTAGTGCCCTTTGGAAGCTGAGCTGATGTGAACTGTGAAATCGCTAGAAATTCTGTCTACCAGTCAAATGCTCCTCACATCAGGGTTGAATTTCAACACAGTGTGTGCACCTCTGTATTTAAATGGTGTATCTTCATATGCTTATATAAGTTAGTTTGTATATGTTTATCATCTTCTCCTTACTCTAGACTGCAGCCTAGAAAGAATAAATGGAGTTGATACATTTCGGACATGTAAAACTACCGAAAGAAATTGATAGGTGAAGACTACGAGAATTGTGATGGCGTGGCAGTGGTGGTGGCTGGTGTAAACATGATCCTGCTTTTGATGAATCTCTTAGTTGCAGAGGTACAAAATATTATTTTGCATGTATAAAACCTATGGATATCAGGATAATTTTAACTAATCTTTAATTATCTTTTCTTGAAATGCTCAGGCCACACAGCGTTCTAGAAGGCCTATTAAATCAATTTGCAGCAGGATGAAACCTAAAGAAGGCCGGGTTAGAGGAAACTTAATGTGCAAGAGTGTTGATTTCTCAGCCATACTGTAATCACACCAGATCCAAACATAAATATGATGAATTGGGGGTACCATGGAGTATTGCTTTGAACCTGACTTATGCTAAAACTGTCACTCCATATAAATTTGAGAGGTGGACCAGTTTGTTTTTATTGATTCTGCTTTCGCTAATCATTTGTAGCTAAACCCAATGATTTCAGGTTGAAGGGACCTGTCGAATATGGGCTAAGTCTGAATCTGTGTCCAGTTAAGTCTGAATGTTACTAATATACTGAATCTGTGTCCAACCCTTGTTTTCAGCAGCAGGAAAGGCAGGCGCGATCCGACTTCCCAATTATGCCACACTGTCCCGGAAGGTAAATCTTGCATCTACATTTTGAAGATAACAGGTGTACTCCTTGATGGACATTTTTCAATAAAGAGTAAAGACAATACATAAATGGCAAATATAAGTATCTCAATTCTTCTAGACTTAGATATTGTGTTTGTGGTTGGACAAAAAAAAGTGAACTGAAACTTCTTCTGTTCTGAGGACTTGGAATGAAGCATCACACACACCATGACTAATAATATTAGATTCTAAACTCACTTCAAAGGTGACTGGAATGGGGAAGAGTCCATGGAGGTGCTATGCCAACCTTTCTTGTACTCCTTTTTTAATATTATTGTTCTGAGAAATTGTATCGATGGGAATTCAGCTTCAGACTTAATGAAGGCTGCAGCCAATTTTGTTGGTGAATTTAACCAAGTGCATAGAGATGTTTTAGTATGCTGGTTCATCGGGTTTATTTTCACGTTCTCTGTTATTAGTGACAAGATGCTTGGAGGTCTTGATACTCTACTGGAGCTCAGGAACTGCATTGAGTGGCACCGGAGGGCAACTAACCGGCAAAACAATGTATACCCTTGTTTAAAAGGCTAAAGGGATTGATTGTTAGAGCATGATGGATAAAAGTGCTTTGCTTTTATCTTTAGTTAGCCCTGATAGATGGAACGTAATCATGAAGTATTTTACTGTTTGTTAGCCCTGATAGATGGAATGTGATCGTGAAGCGCACATTGGACTTCGTGTATCAATAATGCTTTGACATTTCTTTTGTGTCTGACTACATAAGTGTTTGTAGCAAATGGTACATACTTTGGCATGAACTAGGTGTTGACATGTGCATTGTTACAGTCATAATTTTGTATGAAATGATGTAATTAAGAACATTTGATAAATGGATTATGATGGATGGTTTTTCGAATTCAATGGAGATCAGTGCCTCGGATCACCAGTGATCTGAGGAAGCCGAGCAATGGATCATGGCTGGGTACAGATCCTTAGTGGCACTCAGGGCCTTGTTTGTTGATTCAGAACCGTCGTAAATATTTCATACAGTTGGAGACTATTCTGGAGTAGATCTTGGTCTGGTCTTGTGCAAGCCTTGGCTGTCCAATTGGACTTTCTGGTTATTTAGTATCTCTAATTTTCTCCTAATGAAAAACATGCCAAAGGCACGGTTGTGAAAAAGGATTATGATAGATATAATATTTTCATTTTAATTCATCGTGCACAAGGGTTACTTCATTTAGATTTAATTTGCATTGGTTGGTATGAAAAAGCATCAAACATTGTGCACAAAATGTCTATAGCCCGTAGCACACCTTTGGCGGAGGGCATCTCCTTGCCGTCCTTCACGTAGAACTCGCGGATGGACACCAGCGACCTGCCCTTGAACTCCGACAGAGTCACCCTCCTCTTGCTCGACAGCTGCACGCACAAATCACATCATGCCACAAAACCCAAAACCCTAGTAATCTGGATCGATCGAACAAGCGCGAGATGAGAGGTACGGGAGAAGGAACTCACGCGGCACAGGATAAGGTCTCCTTGGTCGTCGTACTCTCTCTTCCCGCCGCCCTTACCCTCCTCCTCATCTTCCTCCTCTTCCTCCTCCTCCTGTTCCTTGTCCTTGCTCTCCCTGCCAGCGCCGCCCTCCTCCGCCTCCGCCTCCGCCTCCTCCTGGGAGGAGAGTGAGCGTAGATATTCCTCAACGACGCCGCGGACGAAGAGCTTGCGGTCGGGGATGGAGAGGTCGATGCCGAGCCGGTCGGCGGCGGCTTTGCGGACCTTATACTCCGTTACGGACTCCATATCGGAGCCCCGGAGGATCTCCAGCACCGCAGCCTCCACCTTGTTCTTGGTTGCCTCGTCCATGGCGACGACGCCCAACTGACGCCAACACTCCTGCTCCCTTCGCCGGAGTTGGGGAGAGTCCTGACCGCAGCTGGACTCTGTGCGACGGGCGACGCCAACGAGAGGTTTTGGGGAGGACGAGCGCATTCGTGGGCTACGGGTGACAGTTCGGTCGTACGGCTGTGAATCTTGGGCCGGCCCATCCATTTTAGTTTGTTCAGCTTTCGTATGTCTTTTTGGGCCTTTGTTAGGCTGAACTCAACCCATTTTTTCTTCCCAAATAAAAATATTAGCATTTGCATTTTTTTTTTGTGCAGTCTTCATCGTCGGCTAATAATAGAAGGCACGCACCGGAAGATGTCGTGTCTCTATAAATTTTTGTGGTTCCACTTCCACCGGTGTCAGTATTGAAGGGACTACAATCATTTGTCAAGTTGGCAACCTTAATGCCTTACGGGCAGTTTGTTGGATTCTGTTACATGTCCATGTGATGGATTGCTGTTTCTGTCTAGTAGTTGGTAAGGCACCGTGTACGTTTATTTACCATATTTATTTAAGCGTGTTGTTCTCTCTCCCGATTGACCTTAATTAAATCTAAATAAAGCAACGGGATTGATCATCCCGCCTGTCCTGATTAGGGCATGAATCTATCTAGTATAGTATTTGGGATCTTGGCTTCAGAATGGCAACTTTATATAAAACTCTCCTCTGAAAAGAAGAAAATTTAATAGATAGAATTCAGTTTAATTTCCGCTAAAGAGTAGCGAATCTGGAAGCCTTAATCGTGCCCAACTGCCCATGCACATGCCTTGCAAACGTGGCTTACACATCGTTTTCTTACTGATCATCAATCAACAAACGTAAATTTCAGAATCGACAAGCACAAGTCCCATAGGTCACATACACTTGGGAACGCAGAAAATGCCGAACGCATTACACGCTTTTTCCATCCACAAAACACAAAAGCTATGGCCTATGGACTCCAAAGCTCCCTGCTCCCAACCAGGAAAATTAGTTCACAACAGAAGTCCAAACTTCCCTGCTCCCAACAGAAGGTTAGAACTTAGAAGGTTGCATGGCCGGTGTCAAACGAAGATTCACGCCAAACCGTGTTTGTACTGAAGCGTCACGTCCCAAGCGGCGAGCGCCTCGAACCCGTCGTGCTCGTGCAAGGCCACGGCCGGCAGGTCAAGGTCAATCCACCACCGTGCCAGCGCCCCAATCGACAGCGCGGAAGCGAAGCGGCGAGGAAGGCCGCTCCCGCTGCCCTGCAGCGCCCGCACGGAATCCCTCACTTCCAACGAAAAAACGATACGATTGCTTCGCTCGGCAAAAAAAAGTCTCCTCCTCCTTCCTTCCCCCTGTTCGGTTCCCCTTGGCGGCAGGCGGCAGGCGGCAGCGCGCCCTCCCGCCGTCCCGCGTGAGAGCCCGAGTCTTTCCATATTCCAATCTACCGCAGCGACAAAAGGGAGGCTCCCCCCATAGGTGGAGGTTGGCGGGTAGATACTCGGTGGCGCGCCTGTCTCACACGGAGCCGGTTGGATTTGGCTGGATTCGAATCGAGCCGGAGGACACAGGTTCGTGCCGCGCGGCGGTCGGCAGAGGCGGAGATGCACAAGAGCAAGGGGAAGCTCTCCGGCGTCCTGCACAAGGGCTTCAAGCCCGACAAGTGGTCAGTAGAGATGGATTTCTGTTGCTCCCGGGGTGCCGGAGGATGGGCAACCTAACGTCTGCTGCTGTGTTTGTTTGTTTGTTTGTTTTCGTATGAATGATTTCCCAGCAAGACGTCGCTGCGGATGGCGCTGGCCCGGATCAAGCTGCTGCGGAATCGCAAGGAGGTGCAGGTACGCCAGATGCGCCGCGAGGTCGCGCAGCTGCTCGAGGCCAACCAGGACATGACCGCGCGCATCAGGGTACGTGCTTTTCCCCGTCGCTTGGCTTCCTCACCAATGGTGTTCATCTCATTCGCCATTTCACCCCGCCCGGCCCCGCCCCCGCCCATTGGTTGGAGTTGACTCGATGCGCCTCCCAGGCTCCCACTCGTGATAGCACAGTTGACCTCATATAATTCTAGAGTTCAATAATGCGTGGGTGTCGCGTGGACTTGACTTCTGAAGCTGTAGCATTGTGGCCTCGAGCTGAGTACTACTTAGTTGCCCGTTGCAGGCTAGGTGTCTGTTTATATGTGTGCAAATGGTCAAATTGGCTGCAATTTGGGATGGATGTGCATGCTCCGACTTCTAGATAGGCCGTGGTTTGTGATTGTTGGACATGTAGCCATCTTGCTACATTGTGAACTGCAATGACTTTCGACAATTTGCAATGACTTTCGACAATTGGGGCTTGTTTGATAACATTTTAGTGTTGGTTATATTCTGTGTTATGCTTTCCTTGAGCATGCCGTCACGTACACTGGAGCCTTAGTTTGTCCACCGGTGGTTATTGTGCGGGGGAGAGCTTATGCATCTGAATATTGAGTTTTTGGTGTTGCTGTGTTTAACGCCGACGTTCCATGGGGCATTGGATTCTCGCAGATATAAGTGTGTGATTTTCTTTCCTGGTCGATGTAGAACCAATGTCAGCTGATTATACTTGTTCCATTACTCTGGCATGCCTGTTTCTGCAAACGTCTGTGCAAAAGCATTTATAGTTGTACCCAACTTTCTTTTGGTACTGCTGTCCTGGTAGGCAAACTCTGTTAGGTTCCAACTTACAAGCCATAGAACATGACTAGATTGTTTTGGGTTCAGATGAAATGTGCGCAGACAACAGTTGTAACGTGTCTTAATAGTACTATGTGAGCACAGAGCTCACTATTTCTTACTGGCTCTGTTTTATCTCTCCCACAGGTTGAACATGTCATAAGGGAAGAGAAGTTCATGCAAGCATATGACTTGATTGAAGTATACTGTGAACTTATAGTAGCACGCCTGTCCATTATCGACTCACAGAAGTAAGGCAAACCTTTTCTTTCTATTATGCAAACCTATATTTGCTGTTCGGTGATTTTAGTTGTATAGTGTTGTTTCTTGATCTGAGGTTATAGAAGCACACTACATTAGGTGGTAATGTAACTTCCATTTTATTCTGGAATGATTTCTTTAGTTCATTAGACTTATTTATTTTTCCTTATGACAATTTTCGTAGGAGCACATCATTATGTAGGATGTTTTTTCTGCACAACTAAATATGTTCTGATGTGTTTTATTTACCTGAAATTTAGGACTTGCCCAATTGATCTGAAGGAAGCAGTAGCCAGTGTTATATTTGCATCAATGCGGTGTTCGGATGTCACAGAACTAGCAGATGTTCGGAAGCATTTCAAAAGCAAGTATGGAAAAGAGTTTGAAGCAGCAGCCCTTGAAGTGCGACCTGACAGTGGCGTAAATCGTCTGGTAATATAGAGTGCCTTTAGAAGTTTAAATTTTATGAAAGAGGTTGCTTGTTTCCTTTGGCTACAAAAGGAATGCATTTTGCTGCTTTTGGTCTTAACAGTTAATATAATTATGCTTGATACAGGTAATTGAGAAGCTGTCGGCAGGAGCACCTGATATACAGACCAAAATCAAAACCTTGAGCTCGATAGCAGAGGAGCATAACATTAAATGGGAGCCAAAAGCATTTGAGGAGAAGCTGCAACAGCCAAATGAAATTCCTCTGGTAAGTATATGATTTAGAGTGGTTTCACTTTTCTGCCCTTAGTTGGACATTGTGGCCCTAATGATTCATTATATTATTTGTTAGTATGGTTCTGCAACATATTCTGGAGGAAACATTTCAACTATGGGATCATCTACTTCTAACATGTCAACACCACAGCCTACATATTCAGGTGTAACTGCGACAGCTGTGGACTCAGCCACTTCCCATGTGCCAGTGGGACCTTCGCCTGCACATATGCCAGCAAATAGAACAGCATATGGCAGTGCCAGTTCTAATACTTTTCCGAAAGAAAACATTCATAATAGTTCCAGTGCTTCAGTACCTCCTATCTCCCAACATGGGCCATCTGCTTACTCTTCAGCACAGACTCCTGGTTCTGACAATATCTCACATGGAAATCCAGGAGGTCCACCTTACCCTCAATACAGCGCAACGGTCCCAGGTACAGAAGGATTGCATTGTTTGAATGTCTGCCAGTTTTCACTGCTCTATTATGTTTATATTCCAATTGAAATCTTCGATTTTCCCTTTCAGACACAGCATCCAGGAATGAAGAGATCAATCAGCATAGGGAAAGAAAACCTTCGGTGACTGGTGCCAATTGGAATTTGGAATTCAAGGATGCAACATCTGCTGCACAGGCAGCAGCAGAGTCTGCAGAGATGGCTAGCATTGCTGCTAGAGCTGCTGCTGAACTTGCTAGTCGTGGAAACTATTATGGAGATAAAGGCACTGGAGCATATGATTCAGCCGCATACAGTAGCGAAAACACACCGAGGAAGCAAAAGCAACAAGCTGAACATATAGTGAAGGATGAGAAGAGTTTCCATGACCAGAGTTCAGGTGTTAATGATCCAAGGGTGATGCCAAGTAACTCAAGAAGCAATTTTGGAGGAACAGAAACAACCTGTGTTGATAGTCAGAATATATCAACAGATAAGGCCCCATATCAACAGTTCCACTCCTACAGTCCAGAAAGCCATCCATATGTTTATGAAATGCCAACTGAACCACCTCGTGCTCATTCACCTGACCCACGTTTTGATGATTTATATGAGAGAGAAAGTGACATTGGAAGATCTGAAGTTCATCCGTTTGATTTTCCTGGAGAAAACTTGCAAGGTACTGGACCTGTTGGGCGCAATTTCAAGAATGTGGAGATCAGGAGATCTAGCTCTGATCAAGAGAGCACAGATGACTACTATGGTAACTTTAATTCTTCACATGATACATTTGCCCATGGCAGCAGCACCACTGTTTGGGACAAGCAGAATGACAAAGCTCAAGGCAATTCTTCACCCGTTGTTTTTGATCAATATAATTCTGATGTTGAAGAAGAGAATTTGTTGGACACATTCTCCTCAAAGCATACTGAACAACTACCTGATCCCAGAGATCATATGGGATTCTCAACTGCAGATTGGAGTGAACAGCACAGAAGTGAATCTCCATACAACCAGAAAACATCGGCCCTAATTTCCAGAACAGAAACACAACTATCTGATAATTTAGGAACAAACAGAAGTGATATTCCTTCACCTCATTCTTATGATAACTTGCGTCCTGCTTTTGATTCAGATGGTGGTAACTCTGATGAGGAAATAGCCACAACCACGCATGCAGTATCTTTAAGGTCCCATTCAGGAGGATCTGTTTTGTCTGGCCTGAACAAAGGTGGTGGACCTGATGGTTCACCCATATATGATTATTCAGGAGCACAGGCAGTGAGGAACTTGAACCGTGTGCAAAGCAGAGATTCTGATCTTTTGGAAGAAGAGACAGATTTAGATAAATTCAAAGGTTCATCCTCAGCCGGAGCAAATGAGCAGCAGTCATTGCCTTTTGCCATGCGTACTTCAGCAACTTCTGATGATAAGGAAGGTAACAACGGCCTTAACTTTGGTAGGTTAACGCCTGGACTAAGAAACAAACCCAGGCAAGCCGCACCATACACCAAAGTTTCCAGGGAGAGCATTCTGCCTAGGCAGTCCTTGCCTAAGGTTTCTTCCAGCACTGAAGAGTCAGTTGATTCTGAAGAGAATACTACATTCAAACAGAATAGAAGTAGCCCCAAAAGCTCGTTTTCAGCCAGGACTAATTCAGGTAAAAACTACGACAGTGAACTTCACGAAAGAAATCAAAGTGTTGGAACACACTGGGAAGCAAGATCAACCATAGCAAGAAATTCCTCTGGTTTAGATGACGCTGAGAAGCTATCTGAGCTACCTAGTAATATAAGTCTTCCAACAACTAAGAGTTCTGAACTTGAGAATTTTAGTCAAGTGCTTTATCATGAAAAGCCAGGTATTGGAGCACACCGAGGAGTGAGATCAACAATGGCTAGAAATTACTTCGATTCAGATGACAGCGAAGAAGAACTAGAGCAACAACAGACTCCTCAGTCTAAGCGGTCTGGAGTGCTGATACAATCACGCAGGACACGGGAGGTAACATCAGACACAAAGAGAGATAGTCATATCCAAACTGGAGCTCAATATGATGATGAAACTGAGAGCGTGCCAAGTAAGACACGAGGCCATCAAGGATTCAACAGCTCAAGTACTGAACAAAGGACTGAAAGGAGGGATGCAAGTGTGTACCCCAGGGTTGCAGTACAGCGGTCTTCGCCTAAAGCTGAGCAGATTGACTCTCCGATGGCTAGAGGGAAGCCCCAAGAAGCTGAAATGAGAAGAAACTTTGTTCGAGGAAACGAGGGGGACACAGAAACCTCAGCTGGAACTCCAAAAGAGAGCACCCCGAAAACACCCCCTGCACATGTTCATCCCAAGCTTCCAACAGACTATGATTCTTTTGCCGCACATTTTAGGTCTCTTCGAACAAACCGGCCTTAGGTCTACACGACATATATAGAGATTGGAGTTTCTGTTGAATTAAGTCATACATACGATAGACAATTATACGTTTTATTGTGGTTGAGTTGAGATCTGTACAGTATAGCAACACAGAATGTTTTCTGGATACCATGGTGCTGTGCTAGTTTGAGCCTACAATTCTTTTGTTCTCTTGTACCCTCATATATTCAATAGAATCATATTGTAAAGACTTAAATTTCCTGCTAGTGATTGTTAATAAGCATGGCATGTGCCGTATGTATAGAACTTCCGGGGTTCTTTCATTTTCATCCCATTGTAACTGGATCTGGTACACTCATGCTATGCATGATTTTTGTGAGAGATTGTTCCATGCTTTCTGCAGCCTCGCCTCGTCTGCAGTCTATTCATGTGCAGCCTCGTCTGTAGTCTATTCATGTGAAGCGAGGTGGCACAATCTTTGCATTAAGGGCTATATTTTTTATGAATTTTCCTTGGGAGTTTGGGACTAAAATGTGGCTTAAAATTTCAGTTGTCCTGATGTTGGCCTTCTTGTGAACTTAATGCAAGTGGTGAGTAATTGTGATCGGTAAGCAATTTGGCAACACAGGAAGCAGTACCGGATGATTTGCGTCCTCTGGAGATCTGTTGGCTGATTTGGTGTGATCTGTTGGCAATTTGGCAACGTAGCGCCTTGTTCGTTTAGGCTTGTTTGGCTGATAAGCCATGGCTAAAAGTACTGTTGGCTGATTTGGTGTGAGAGAAAAATAATGTTCATTGGCTGAAAAAGTACGACTTATAAGTCAAACAAGCACCAGCGAACAAATTCACACAAAACAATCTAAAGAAAATTAAAACAAATGTCAGTGACATCAAAATAATAACGAGTAACTCAAATTCACACAAAATAATCTAAAGAAAATATGAACGAAAGGAAATAGTCGAGGGAGGGGGCGCAAAAAAGAAAGAAAGAAAAAAAAAAAAAAGGTCTTCTCAGAGGCGCAGATCAAGCTGGAGAGGTCCACCAAAACAAAGCAACTCGGCCCACTATCCGGCCTAGGGTTTATGAGCACCGCTACACACTATATAAAGTGAGCTTCTAAAGCTCGCGCCGACGCATCGATACCACCTTCCACCAGCACCCGAGCGCCGGAAAGAAGCAAAATTAGCGGTGTGTCACTGCCATCTACGGTGTTGTGTCGCTCCAACCTACGGTGAGAAGAAATCTTCCCTTCTCGCGTCAACTTTCTTACATGAACTGGTCTCTGTTAATTACTAATATAGTCTGACTTCTTTAGTGCGCGTAAATCGACGTATTTGAACTTCACATCTCCTATTTCATCGCCTGAAATGTTGGAAGGCCTTCCTTTGAACTCCACTAGTGCTCGATTTGCCCCCAGTTTCAGTGCTATAAATTGTGGTGTTTGTTGATCATAGCATTTGTTTCTCGTAGAATTACTACTGCATACAGTTTTCAGGCCACTAGATTGGTCAACTAAATATATAATTCTGTAGAAGTTAATTTGTGGAACAGACATCTTCTGGATTATTATGTTGTTTCATTCTATGTTCTGATCTTTCTTTAGTCTGATAGATCTATGCTGTACTGAAATTGTTAGTGAGATAATGATTCCGATGTTTATCAGTTAGTTTTCCCTGTTTAGCCGATGTATCATTTTGTGTGTTGGATTCCTGGTTTAGGTAAGCATAAATGGCGACGGTTCCAGATTCCCTGGTCTGGGAGATCGTGAGGAAGAATAACTCCTTCCTGATCAAACAGTTTGGCAACGGCAATGCCAAGGTTCAGTTCAGCAAGGAGCCCAACAATCTCTACAATGTTCACTCCTACAAGCACTCTGGTTAATGTTTGTTTACCAGCCTGTTGATTTGACTTTTTTATGCCATCGGTGGCACTGATTGGTTACTTTTCAGGCCTTGCCAACAAGAAGACCATGACAGTGCAGCCAGCCAGTGGCAAGGAGGTTGCGGTGGTCCTCTCAACAACCAAAACAAAGAAGCAGAACAAGCCCGCCAGCCTCCACCACAAGTCTGTCATGCGCAAGGAGTTCCGCAAGATGGCCAAGGCTGTCAAGAACCAGGTATAGAACAACCCCATCCCATGTTCAATCTTTTATGTAATTTGTGTCCTCTGATGAAGTTCTAGTTGAAGATCATCTGGTTAGAACTTTGTAGTTTGTACCCCTCAAATATAGATGATTTTATTTTATAAAAATCTGTAGTTTACTAGTTATAAAATTGCTGTGATGAGCCTTAATCTTTAAGGTACATTAACCTGTCTGCACTTAGCTTCTGAATGTGAAGAGAGTTTGTTTTTTATTATAACATAGTCTTCTTGACAGTCTTGTCATACCGTTAACTTATTGTTTTTGGTTCACATTTATAGCTGTTTTAAAGGCTCTGGTTCTAATACCAGTTTTTTTACAAAAGATCAAGTATGTGCCAGTTTATAAAAACTGTGGATGGTTAGTAGCACGTGAGAATAATCTCTGGTTAGGGCTGGCAATCCACGTAAAATGGCCTATATACTGGTTCGTGGGCCAGCTGACTTACTGTGTGCTTGCCCTTGTGATTCCTATTTACAGTTGCTGTGATGTACCTTAACATATAAGAAGGTTCATCATTCAATAAAAGGTTTGACCTTCAATGTGATGTTACGCTTGGCATCTGAGCTCGTTGGAAGCATTTGTTTGCACCCCTAAGTTGAAGTTCTGTGAAAAAAATTGCTGCTTGCTTTTTACCACTTGTAACCCTTTTCCAAACGAGAGGCATGCTGTCTGCCTGTCTCACCTGAAATGTGGTTCTTGTTTGAGCAAGTCGGCATCATCAGTTTAACTGTTGTGGTTTTATTTACTTGTTTGTACAGGTCGGTAACAACTATTACAGGCCTGATCTTACCAAGCCAGCTCTTGCAAGGCTGAGCGCAGTGTACCGCAGCCTCCAGGTTGCCAAGTCTGGTGTCAAGAAGAAGAACAGGCAGGCAAACTAAGACAACAATGGTCAATGGCTCGTTTTGTGTTATCAAAAACATTGTGGATGGGTGGTGTTTATACAGCTTTCAAGATTTGGAGTATGAGAAAATTTGTTTATCTAAAACTGCTACAAATTTTCATAGTTAACTCCACCTTTGTACAATTGACCGATGGCATATTATTAAGCCTATGGAAATATTTTATTAGTACCTATGGCCTTTGGTTATCTGTGCTGCTGCCCTCCCGAGGTTCTCTTGGAAACATTCTTGTTTTCATTCTCTTGTGCTGAGTTTTGAAAAATGTTCTGCCTTGTAATTGGTCTAAAAAGACATCAAAGCAACAAGTTGTACAAGTACTGCTTAATCACGTGACCTCGACAAAATCACGTGACTTCGAAAATTCTGAGGTCCGCTGCTTGAATTTGCCCCTGAATTATACAAGTACTGCTTAGTCATGTGATTTGGTGACAGCTTTGGCCTGCTTCTTCACACCTTAGCAAATCTCTCTTATTAAATTGAATTAGGAGCTGATGATGTTATTGTTTGTTACTTCATCGGTTCCACGCACTGTGGGAAGGAGCTGTTTTTCTCTCTGAGCTGATGGTGTTTTTTTTTTCTGCACACTATATCGAGCCATGCCAAACAGGTTAGGGAGGCTCAGTTGATAATAAATTAACGTTAGACTAGTGAACTGTTTATATATTACGTGAACAGGAACAGCCTTGCGTGCACAGGAATTCGCGAAATCTTTATCACCTGCTGAAAGTTCGATGGCTTGGAAGCGACACCTTGCAGCATCTTGGAAGGAACAAAAACCATGGACCGAAACTCACTCTTTTACCAGACGTGCGGGACACTAACATCTCGCTGGGCTGGTACAAAACCGATCTCCAACTCACGATGCACCGAGAAACCGGCGGTACCACACATGCCGGTCGGCGAGAAGACGGCCAAGGCAACGGCCAAGGACAGCGGCGGCGGCGGCCAGCCGAAGCCACCGTCCCGCGGTAGCGTCCGCTTCGAGCGCCTCCTTTCCGAGCTGGGCGCTGGTCCACTCGTGGACGTCGAGCCCGACAAGGTCAAGGACGAGATCCGGCGATGGGCCAAGAAGGTGGCGACGCTGGTGCGCCAGCTCAGTTTGGGCACCTGGGCGGAGAAGAGCGACGGCTCGTCGGAGCACCACGGCGCAGGCGATGATGGATTGGCCAACTGAGCATCTAGAGTCTAGACTGCAGATAACTTTCGCAGGCAGTAATTCCAGTAATCACAACTCCGCTGATATGGCGGCAGCGCCGGGCAAAAGCAAGAGCAAAATTCATTTATCTCCTTCATTCGTTTCAAAGGGCGACTTAGGCTGATACTGTATGTGTACTACAGTAGATCTTACCTCAATTATGTCAAAAGCGATAAAATTTAGCGAAGGTCATGGATGTAATAATTGTAATAAAGAGCAGTGCATATTCTCCAGTAAATAATATCTGGGCTAGGGTGCTATCTTACTCTTCGGAATCACCCACAGCACATTACATGGTGCACCATGTCTGAGTTTCCGTTCAAATCAACAGATCATTAAAATGAAAGAGGAAACAAAAAAAACTCAGTCTTACCCTTGAGGGCATTCTCCTCTACCAATTTACTGGTAAAATAGGTGGCGATAAGCTAATATCTACACTAAACAGTTAGATGAATCAAGATATTGTACCTGTTAGATGAATCAACATATTACACCGCTAGATTTGTACTACTTTGTACTATACAAAACCGCTCTACCTAAACTACAAAACCAGCGATAACTTCTAAACTGTACATGATGTTTCTCAATCCAGTTTTCTGTCAAATTTTGAAATGCTCCTCAAAAGTTGTTTGGAGCAGACGTTTTGTGCCTGAGCTACATATCGTACACGATTTGCTTTCACCCACGCAGGCTCCTAATTGACAAAAAAAAACCAAGAAACCGAACAAGGGCGCTTCAGTTATAAAGAAATCAGTGCAACTGAACAGAAGCAGATAAATACAGAAAATCACCTCAGGCACGAAGTGGGAGAAACCAAACTTGATTAAGAGGAGAGCATGCTCCATTATGAGGATTGCTGCTAGTCCTGGCTCAATCCTCCATTTCCCCTCCTCGTCATACAGACAAACGAGAAGCAAGCAGTTGGTGCATATTGCCATCACAACCAAGAACTGAAAACAAACTTCAGAGTGAATCATGGCATGCATATTCCCACAACCCACAAGTAGTGAAATTAAAAAGTTCAGCTAGTAAACCTGGAATATGTTCAGCCATGCTCCAATTGTAGCTGCAGCACGGGGAACAGGTCTTTTCAACATGACTAACAACTTCAATGCATCTGCTCTGATTTCAGTAACATTGTTCTGTTCTCATAGTTCACAAATTAACAGGGTTACATCAAAGCAACAATCACAGAGAGGCTAAACAACATAGTGATTTTATGATAGAGATCACATACCAGAGCTGCAAAGCAGAAAATCAATGGAAATGCACAGGCAAACATCATGATCATTCCAAACTGAAGAGTCAGCTCCAGAAAGTTTGTAATGGATTCAATAATATAAGCACGAACACCATCATTTGCTTTTCCTTTTCAAATTGCAAATGCTATGACTGAAACGCAGCACAAGTGGTATATATGAACCACATCCAAACTGACTACCAAAAGAACTGAAAAAGACAAATACTTACCATCAAATAAACCATCTTCAAGTTCTGCTCCAATGCTTGCAGTGTAAGAGGGTTTTAAATACTCTTTCTCCACTCTTGTTGATAACCGGACTGACCTACCCACTGGTGATTCTTTCTCATGCTTTTTCTTGCTACAAGATGCGAGAGAATTCTGGTATATATTACTCTATTGCTCTGTGAATAAGAAGTATAAGGACAAGGGTTCATGTGAAACTTACTGAACAGCTATGTACTTTTTATAACTGTACTTGAGGTAAGGAATGGAATTCTCAATCAGATTTTGTAATACCTGAAAAAAGGAAAACATATCGCCAATAGGAAACTATGGTACAAAAATATTCCACAGTAAAACAATTATGCTGCAGTACTTTCAAAAAACAATTATGCTGCAGACATGCCTGGGACACAATGAGGCGCTGGATGAGGACTTGCCGGAGGGCCATTATATCACGATACAAAGAAGCATGGTAAAATAACCCAATATATGACCGCATAAAGTAAAGGCCAAAGACCTGCATTTGAAGAAAAGGAAATAAGGCAAGAAGCCAAAAATAAAGAAAAAATCATCTTTCACTTCATGGTATTTACCTTATAAACTAAACTAGCGGAACTAGACTCTTCTCCTTGGTTGTTTTCATACTTTATCAAATTGACAGACACCTTGCCACCAATTCTGGTGTAATATTGAATTGCAACAAGATATACTGCAGTCAACAAATACCTGTATAATATAAAATTGATCAGAATAATACAGTGCAGATTTTAATGACAACCAAATGGAAAAACAAGGGAAACTGATATTAAGTATTATTACGGTAGAAAAGCTAGCTAGCAAGTCAATTGCACAGTTTTAAAGTAACCATATCTATTCACCTCATAACCTCAGTTTCTGTAATTTCATATAGATGAGCATAGGCCAACTCAAATGGCAGCTGAAGAAAAATGATAGCCAGCACAATGATAGCATTGTTCCTTATTCTAAGGAGGACACCGAACCATTCATTCCTTTGTAACTTTCTTTTCTCCGCAGACACATCACCAAACTCCTTTTCCACAACAGTAAGAGAATCACTCAAGAAGCTGAGTTCGTTGCCCAGATTTTTGTATTCAGGTAGTGAACGATTAATACCCCATCTGTTGCAGGGCGTCATAGAGGTAAGGAAACAGTTGTGAGGATATCAGCCTGATATTTCCAGATCAATATAAGTTATTGGCAGATCAATATGAATCACGTATAACCTTGCAAGAAGTGCTGAATTCTTCCGTTTCCAAAATTGCAGAAAGAAGACAGCCCAAGAAATAACAAAGATAAAGAAACCAGGAAGAACCAACCACTGCAATGATCTGAATTCAACGTGAAGAGGAGAAATGTAGAAATAAGAACAGAGAGAAAAAAAATATTAATTTTGTTACTAAATTTTCCAACAGAGGCCATCGCAAGTGAAATGCATACCCAAAATCTATGAGTTGAGTTGCCAGTCCAAAAACAGCTGGGAAGAAAAGCCATCGCGCATACATTCCTAGGAACGCAAAGTATGTTGCAATCTGCAGTTCAAAGTGGAGTTTTAATCAAGTAGAAGGTAGAAAAAATATTGCCTTGCTTTAGACAGAATGGAACATAAATTGAGTATAGTATGTATAAGCTGCATTGGACACAATTCTACCTTTGTTCCAAAGTAGGAGTAAATCTCATCAATAGGTTGCCATGTGAATTCAAGCCAATTAAGCGCCCAATTTCTCAGGAGTTGCTTCCTTTTAACTTCATCTGCAACGGAATTTTTAGCTGGAATACAGTAATAGTTTCACAAATAAGAGCATAAATAGAATTAAGATTAGTGTACCATGCAAAGGGAATACTAGCTTTACAACTCCTTCAGCTTCCAGCCTTGTTAATAAGGACTCACTTTGCTTCCAATGGAACTCCTTATCATCAAATTTAAGAGCTATTTCAGAGTTTGTCTTGTTCACCTGCATTCATCAATTCCAACTTGCTATAACATTAGCTATATCCAAATACTCCTAGAAAAGAGCCAAACACTTGGTGGATTAGTTATATACTTCACTTCTCACACATGATATCAAGCAAACAAACAATGAATGGGAGTGTATTGATCTGACAAAATATGGATCAGCACAGAAACAAAGTACACATGTCATTGGTAGTCTTACAATGCAGTGGAGACCATAGAAGCAAACATTAAAAATGCATCCATAGGTACATTGTAGAACCATAGGTGATAAATCAGTGGTCATAACTACAATGTATTTCAATCACATCAATAGCTAGGTCGTGCACTTACAATGCCATATATCAAGTAGCGGAAGCAGCAATAGCGTTCTCTCCAGCTGAACAGGGAACCATCTGGCTGCCAAACGAATGCTGCAACCTGGTCCCATTCAAACTGAAGCTCCATTCCTGAGACGCAAATTAACAGCAACATCAAACACATCGCCCATGGCCAATCACATTTCAAAATTGTCAAACCCACAACAATGACTGTCTGAAGTGCTATCGGAGGGAAGCGTATTCGCTGGAAGACGTTATCTACTTAGAATTACGTATTCAATCGTTTGTGTAATGCAAGTCTATGACGTGTGGGCCCGGGAGGGCAGATCCAGTCGGTTTTAAGAGACACCGTGAAAACTCTGTAATCATCGAACTTTAGAATACAGACATCGGCAGCAGGAATCTTTCCTCTGTCTTCCCGATCTCCTGTTCCTCTTGCGTTCCTCACGTCGGCGGTGATCACCGACGGCAACGGGGTGTGACAAGTGGTATCAGAGACGGTCTATCCTCGGCGTGGGGGGCGATGGGCGACCGAAGCTCTTCTTCGCGCTAGTTATCTGGCGACGGCTGCCTCGCAGCGGCGCCGTCACTCCTACCATCCGGTAACCGACTACCTTCTACCCACCTCACCGCAGTTGCTCAGTTCTTCTTGATACGACACACTACCGGGCGCCTTGATCTGCAGTTCGTAATTCCGGTGGGCAGGGGATCTCCGTTAACGCCCTCGAGGTGTTCGACGGAAGGAACCAGAGGTCCCTCCTTTGGGTTGAACTGGGTCGGCTCCGGCAGTGGCACTACTCCGCCTGAGCTCTGCAATTTCCACCACCACCACCACCACCACCACCTCCACCTCCCTACAATCCCTACTTAGATCCACCACCAGCAGCCCCAATCCACCCCTCCTATCGCTCAGATCCGATCGATCTACGGCACATCACTCTGATTGTTCATTAGCAAGCAGTCAGTCGAGACGAGGGTTTCAGAACATCGTTTCCGTGTGAAATTCCGTAGTCTCACAGTGCTGATTGTTGTGCGGTGGCGAAGGCAAAGAAGTGTCCACACACTCGGGTTGCAGAGCAGGTCTCTGTGTAAAATTCCTTGGTGGTGCCTCACTTCTGGGCGTAGTCGGCGAGTTCTGGTGTAACAGGCTAAGGGGGAGGGCTACCAAACCCGTTGTTGCACCTCGGTATCAGTCACAACAGCTCCCAAGAAACCATCCATGCAGACCCAATTTATCTTGGAAGCTATGTCTAAGACCAGTGAAGAGGGCAATACAAGGTGGGATCAGATTATGGGGAACTTTGATCTGCTGTTCGCTCAGATCAATGATTTGGGACTCATTCAGCAAGAACTCAAGACTCAGTTCATGTCAGCTCAGGAGGAACAGAAGAAAATTGCGAAGCAAGTGCAAGCCAATGGTCAGGCAGTGGCTAGTCTGACAATCAGGCAAATGGAAAAAGAAAAACTAGAGGATAGTTCAGATAATGCCTCAGTTGTCTCAGCTGAAGACACTGTGTTTGATAATGTGTTTGCTGCCCCGACTCATGACCACAAGCCAGGCACATCCAAGAGAACCCATGGTCATTTCAGCAAGGATCAGTTACCTCACCACTCCATTCCAAAAATGCAATTTCCCATGTTTGATGGAACAAGCCCCAAGATATGGATTGACAACTGCTGCAACTATTTCACAATATACAACATTACAGAGTCCTTGAAGGTCACAGCTGCCGTGATGCATCTGGAAGGAAATGCAGCCAAGTGGTGGCAAGCATACAAGCAAAACCATGCAGTGCCTACATGGCAGCCCTTCTGTTCCATCATACTGGACAAGTTTGGTGCTGATGATTTCAGGCAAGCCCTCAATGACTTGTTATCCCTCAAGCAAACAGGCACTGTGGAGGAATACACAAATGCCTTTCAATCTCTGCAAGTTGATGTTACCATGCATAATTGTCACTATGATGAACTCTTTTTTGCAACCAAGTATGTGGATGGATTGAAGGAGGAGATTAGAGCTACTGTGGAACCTCATGTACCAGCAACAGTAGACAGAGCTGCCTTGATTGCCAAGATCCAGCAGAGAACAATTGACAGGAACAAGACCAAAGCCACAAAACCACCACTAGCAAACAGATTTCAGCCACAGAAGCAGGACAATCAATCTTCTCAACACCTCACAAGACTCAGACAATTGAGGGATTATAGAAGAGCACACAACCTTTGCTACTTCTGTGGGGACAAGTATGAACCTGGTCATCAGGATGTCTGCTCTAAACGTGCTAAACCACAGCTGAATGCCATTGTGGTAAACCCACTGGACAAGGAGATCACTGAAGAAGTTCTCAATACCCTAGCAGTGGAAGATGCTTTAGCTGAGGACTTTTGTCAGCTATCCCTCAATGCCCTCTCAAGTGCCGACACTGATAACAGCCAATGTTTTTAAGGCGTCGCTTTGGCGTCGCCTAATCGGCAAGGCGCTACAGGCGGGACGACTTGGCGGACGACTCGCCTCAGATTGGTATGGCGTCCGCCTTACTACCATGGCGTCCGGAAGTCGTCGATTTGGCGTCCGATTCGTCGAAATTGAGCAAGGCGGGCGCTGCCTGCGGGAGTGACAACGGGTGGCGGCGAGCGCGCCAGGAGGAGGCTAGCGGTGGGCGCGGGCATGGCTAGGAGGAGGGCGGGCTGCGAACGCAGCCAGGAGGCCGCATGCAGGCGGAGGCTGGGGCACGGACGGGAGGAAGACGAGACGCAGCAGCGGGACGGGAGCAAGCGAGCACCGCCATGGGGGAAGGAGAACGAAGGGCGAGCGGAAGAGCTGCCGCCGTCGGAGGCAGGAGAACCATCGGAAGGGACTTTGGGTGAGAAGCAGCGGGAGAGAAGAGAAGCGTCGGGGAGAAAGCGGATGAGCTGCAACTGGCGACTAGCGGCTGGGATGGGAGAGAAGCGTTGTCTCTTAGGGTTACACACTATATATATATGAATATGTTGGACTTGGGCTGAAAATACTGCTATTGGGCTTCTTTTAGCCTGCTAACAGGCCTTTCTCTTTAATAAAGTCCACTTATCTCGTATTTCCTTTTCTTTTTTAAACATGTATGTATGTAAATGCTAGCGCCTAGAAAAACGCCTTGTAACGCCTAGGCTCGCTTGGATGGCCGTAAGGCATCGCCTCGCCTTACGCCTTACTCGCTTTAGCGTAAGGCGGTAGTTGGTCGCCTCGCCTCGCTTTACCGCCTTAAAAACCTTGATAACTGCATCAAATTGAGAACTCTGGTGAAGAACAAAGTGATGCTACTCCTTCTGGACTCAGGAAGCTCACACAGCTTTATCAGTTCAAGCTTTGTGGCCATGGACAATCTACCAACAATACCAGTCACTACTAAAACTGTGAAGTTGGCCAATGGGCAACAGTTAAATGCACAAGCTAAGGTACTTAATCTGCCATGGTATATTCAAGGTCATACTCTCCATAGTGACATGCTAGTCATAGATATGGGTCCTTATGATGCTATTCTTGCTTTGATTGGCTTAAATTACATAGCCCCATGCAGTGTGATTGGAGCAACAAAACCCTCACTTTTACACATGATGGCAAAACAGTCACCATCCAAGGCCTACAAACCCTACCCTTACAAGCCACACCCATCTCACCTACCCAACTCTATAAGGCTACCAAAGGCAATGACACCTGGGCCTTTGTCATGCTTCAGCAAACCTCTGAACCCAACCCTGACACTCCAAGTACCAAACTCACCAACCTAGACCTGCAAACAATTTTGACCAAATATCACACAGTATTTCAGGACCCACAAACTTTACCACCACAGAGAAGCTATGACCATTCTATCCCACACATACCAAGCGCTATTCCAATCAATGCCAGACCCTATCACTACTCTCCACAGCACAAAACTGAAATTGAAACTCAAGTCAAGCAGTTGCTGCAGTCTGGGCTCATCACACACAGTCACAGTCCCTTTGCCTCTCCGGTACCGCTAGTGAAGAAAAAGGATGGGACATGGAGGTTCTGTGTGGACTATAGGAAACTCAATGAGATGACAATCAAGAACAGGTTTCCTCTTCCAATCATTGAAGAAATTCTGGATGAATTAGAAGGAGCAGAATATTTCACTAAGTTGGATCTGAGGTCAGGGTACCACCAAGTCAGAATGTTGCCAGAAGATGAGTATAAAACTGCATTCAAGACTCATCATGGCCACTATCAATTCAAGGTAATGCCTTTTGGCCTAACCAATGCACCTGCTACCTTTCAATGCATCATGGACCAAATTCTCCAGCCATTTCTGAGGAAGTTTGTATTAGTATTTCTAGATGATATCCTCATTTACAGTAAATCATTCAATGAACATCTGAAGCATCTAGAACAAGTTTTGGAAGTGTTGTAGACCAATCAGTTATACCTTAAACAATCCAAATGTTCATTTGCTCAAACACAGCTAGAGTATTTGGGTCACATCATTTCGGCTGCAGGAGTAGCAACTGATCCTCAGAAAACTCATGCCATGTTACATTGGCCCCAACCAACAACCATGACAGAGCTTAGGGCTTTTCTAGGCCTCACAGGATATTATAGAAAATTTGTAAAGGGTTATGGAGTTATGGTCAAACCACTCACCAACTTACTCAAGCACAAGCAATTTCAGTGGCCCCCAATAGCTCAAGAAGCCTTTGATAAGCTCAAATTAGCCCTCACAACTACTCCAGTCCTGGCACTGCCAAATTTTCAGCAACCCTTCACAGTGGAAACTGATGCTTGTGGGGAAGGAATTAGAGCAGTCCTTATGCAATCTGGCCAACCCATTACTTATCTAAGTAAGGCACTGGGAGAGAAACATCAGAAGCTATCCATTTATGAAAAAGAGTTTCTAGCCTTAATTATGGCAGTGGAGAAATGGAAACATTACTTACAGAGGCAAGAGTTCACCATCTTAACTGATCATAAATCCCTATCATATCTTGCTGAGCAAAATCTTCACTCAGAAATGCAGAGGAAGGCCATGACTAGACTCATGGGACTTCAATTCAAAATCGTCTACAAGAAGGGCAAGGAGAATGTAGCTGTTGATGCTCTGTCTAGAGTACCCCATCTCCATACATTACAGGCAGTTTCCTTGGTCAAGCCTGATTGGGTCCAGGAGGTCAGCAATTCATATACAACAGATGCTAGAGCTCAGCAGTTGCTTCAACAGTTGGCAGTTACTAGCCCTGATCCAGCAGGGTATAGTCTGGATAATGGGTTGATCAGACACCATAACAAGCTCTGGATTGGCAATAATTCAGCTCTACAAACTAAGCTAATTGCTAGTTTCCATTCCACAGCTATTGGTGGACATTCTGGCACTGCTGGCACCTATCAAATACTGAAAAATCACTTTTCCTGGAAAGGGATGAAACAGGTTGTGGAAAGCTACATCAAGCAGTGTGATGTCTGTCAACATGCTAAACACTCTAACACTCATCCTGCAGGCTTACTTCAACCCTTACCATTACCTCAAGGAGTTTGGATGGATCTATCTATGGACTTTATAGAGGGCCTTCCAAGATCCCAAGGTTACAGTGTTATTTTTGTAGTAGTGGACCGATTAACCAAATATGCTCATTTCATGGCAGTGAAACATCCTTATACAACAACTTCTATAGCACAGCTCTTTATGGATAATGTGGTCAGGTTACATGGGTTACCACAGTCCATTGTTTCTGATAGGGACACAATTTTTGTCAGTGCCTTTTGGAAGGAGCTATTCAAGCTTTACAGAGTAAAATTAGCTCTCAGCATAGCTTACCACCCACAGTCAGATGGGCAAACCGAAAGGATCAACCAGTGCTTGGAAATGTAACTGAGGTGTTCAGTCCAAGATGCTCCTACAACCTGGAAGTCCTGGCTATCCTTAGCCGAACTATGGTATAACTCCACGTTCCATTCCTCCCTCGGTTGCTCTCCATTCAAAGCACTCTATGGCTATGAACCAACTGTGGGCGCCACACCATTGATCTCACCTGATACATTACCAACTATTGCTGAGATCATTGAGAATCGTGAGCTCCATCTTCAATCTCTGAAGCAACACTTGGCCAGTGCTCAGAATCGAATGAAAATCATGGCTGATAAGAAAAGGGTAGATCTCCAGTTCTAGGTTGGCGATCAAGTGCTGCTTAAGCTCCAACCATATACCCAGTCCACAGTGGTTAACCGACCTTACCCCAAGCTGGCCTACAAATTCTATGGGCCATACACCATCCTGGAGAAAATTGGAAAAGTGGCCTATTGGTTGGATTTACCTCATGACAGCCAAATCCACCCGGTATTTCACATTTCCCAGCTCAAGTCATTTGTTCCTAATTTCTCTCCAGTGTTTTCAGAATTGCCAGTCACCACTGACATTGAGGCGGCCGCGGCGGTGCCTGAAGTCATCATTGAGCGCCGCCTGGTCAAGAAGGGTGCCACTGCTCGTTCCTCAAGTCCTGGTGAAATGGAGCGGTCTCCCAGCGACGTCGGCCACCTGGGAAGACTACAACGTCTTGTGCCATCGCTTTCTAGAGGCACCTGCTTCGCTTTCTAGAGGCACCTGCTTGGGGACAAGCAGGCACTTCAGCGGGAGGAGCTGTCAAACCCACAACGATGACTGTCTGAAGTGCTATCGGAGGGAAGTGTATTTGCTGGAAGACGTTATCTACTTAGAATTACGTATTCAATCGTTTGTGTAATGCAAGTCTATGACATGTGGGCCCGGGAGGGCAGATCTAGTCGGTTTTAAGAGACACCGTGAAAACTCTATAATCATCGAACTTTAGAACACAGACATCGGCAGCAGGAATCTTTCCTCTGTCTTCCTGATCTCCTGTTCCTCTTGTGTTCCTCACGTCGGCGGTGATCACCGACGGCAACGGGGTGTGACAAAAATCCATATGCTTCGTCGTAGATATAGTAGTCCAATTAGGCAATTACCGATGTAGGTTAGCTTCTTCATCTGCATCTCAGCAGCAGCTCTGCCCAGGGTCCCCATTGGTGCAGCCAGCTAAATTCAAACAGCAGGCCCACAAGCATTAGAACTGAAAAAAAATAACAAGCAGCACGCGTTGCATAATATCCCAGCGAGGCAGATACTAGAGGGCTCGCGCTCTTCTTTATCGCCGCCTCCTCCGCTGAAACTGAATTAAAAGGAAAAGAAAAAAAAATAGCAGCGGCACCGGGTCACAAATCACAGACCTTGATGAACTCAGTGGGGACACTGCGGACGCGCTCGACGAGCAGCCCGGTGCCCTCGAGCTCTCGCACGAGCTGCGCCACGCAGTCGTCGACGGCCCCCGCCGCAGCGGCGCGGGAGAGCTTGGGCACCACGATGCTCACCTCGAAGCCTGTGGCCTCCTCCACAGCCCCCTCCTCCCCATCTGCCCCCATCCCTAAGTCGGGACGCCCAGATCAGATTCGGGCGACGGCGGCGGATGCGAGGAGGCGGATCCGCATGGGCGGAAAGGGGGAATGCGAGGAGGATGCAGATTTGCGGAAGAAGAGTAAACAAAACAAAAGGAAAGCGGAGCGTGCTTTGGGAATGGCGGAGGAGAGCGGGGAGTAACGGATTAGGAGGGCCGGTGTCCGCGGTTCATTCGATTTGATTCGATGATTTTCTAAGATTAATTTAAGAGAGAATTTCTCGTGACCTATTAAAAAAAATCACAATTCTCATATGAGCCACTTAAAAAATCAGCGGTTTTCAGCGTCACTGCTCTAACTTTTTTTTTTGCCCTTCATGCCACTACCGTCAGATTGAGCTCTAAGAGTGTCAAACTGCAGGTGTGAAAATCGAAAATACACTTAAATCTAAATATGTCATTAATTTTTTAAGCATCTTAACGACTTCAAATGGAAAAACTCAAAACTAGAAAGTTGTAGATCTCGTCGAGATCTATAATCTTCGTATAAAAATTATCTTCATTTAATTCCGTAAAAAAGATATAATTTTTCTAAGATATATTAATCATATCAAATCATATCTTTTTTGCGAAATTAAATAAAGATAATTTTTACATGAAAATTATAGATCTCGACAAGATCTATAACTTTTTAGTTTTGAGTTTTTCCATTTGAAGTCGTTAAGATGCTAAAAAAATTAATGACATATTTAGACTTAACTGTATTTTTGACTTTTCACGCCTGCAGTTTGACACGGTTAGAGCTCAATCTGACAGCAGTGATATGGAGGGCAAAAAAAAAAGTTGGAGCAGTGGCGCTGAAGACCGCTGAACTTTTTCAGTGAGTCACAGGGAATTACCATCTTTTTTAATGGCTCACAAAGAATTCCTCCTTAATTTAATTAATCGGTTGATTAGTTGGCATCGTAACTGCCTGTCTGTGAGATTGCGGGCGTAATTAAGTGGCGACTAGGGGTGCAACTTAGAAACGCGGTGGGGAAAAATTATTCGTGGAAATCGTGCGTGCCATTTTTTTACAAAAAATCGTGCGTGCCATTTTGTAGAGCAGGAGTTTTTCATCAAATCAAATCAAATCAAAGAGGAAATAAAATTATAGAGTTTAATGTTAATTGCTTTCGGTTCTTAGAACGAAAATAGCTAAATTGTAGTTATGGCCAGATGACCGGAAATGCTTTCGATTCATTGCCTCTGTCTAGTGGTGTTTCAGTGCCCATATGCTTTTGCGGCGATCCTTGTAAGATAGCCAAGTTCGATGAAAAGGATACGTATAGGCAGAGGTATTGGATGTGTTCTAATTTTACGTTTGAGCCTACACTTCGTCAACGTCGCATTAACAAGATGGTGAGGAATTGATGTTTGTGTCATATGACATCTTGCATGATTTTTTTGTAACAATTGTATTTTTTGCAAATCCCTCCACTGCTCTGTGATTTTGAGCAGTGAATCGACACTGAAATCAAGCCTAAAGACAAAGAATAGATATAGAAACGGTTGCGGTGGGAGGCAGAGAACAAGGAGATGGTGGAGAAGAGACGCGAAAAGGAGGCTTAAAAAGGAGAAGAAGAAAGAGGAGGAAAGGAGACGTGTTGCTGCTTATAGGGAGGAGAGGGAGAAGAAGCTTGAGCGTGCATGCCAAGCGAAAGCAGCGATGGAGGAGAATCCCGATGCCCTAAGAAAGGGAAAGTGGTCTCGTTGCACTCAGTAGTCTCCATTACTTGATAGTTCTATGGTTTATTCATGAACAATGTTGTGTATTGTTGGATTTTTCATTGTGTTGTCATGTAATGCACTTTAAGTATGGACATGCTTAAGTCATGTACTGCGTTATTTAGTTTGTCGGCACATACTTCTAGTATTATTGTGTTGTTTAATGTGTCATAGTATTGGATTTTTCATTATGTAGTTGTTTTCATTATTTATGGTCATAATATTCAGTTTAATATTGTGGACGTATTGAAATATGATCATGTGCTGCAAACAAAACCTAACGAAGTAGAGCATTATATAATTCAACACACAAAACATAAGAAATGACATATAAGAACATGTACCGAACTAAGGTATAGAGGTCCTGAACTAAACCTAACATGTCTTAGATAATTGAAGCGAACAACAAGCACAAAAAATAATATGTGAGAACATGTATCAAATAAGGGTACAAGTTCCTTCGACTAAACCTAACATGCCTTAGGTAATTAAAACAAACAGCAAACACATAGATGTGCCATGTGAATAAGATAGGATTATTCTAATAGTGTGGCCACATAACAAATTATGTTGCATCTTCTCCACAGTAGCCTCCTATTGTTGGTGGTGGTGGTGGCGGGGTGACGGTGGAGGCCCCTTGTTCTTTTGATTAGGGCAGGTGCAATATGGATCATTGTAGAGTGCCTCATGTGAACTTGCACCATTGTTGTTGTCGTCGTCTTCGTCTTCCTTATACCCGCTGCTAACTTCCCTTTGTAGATCGAAGATTTGGTCCTATAGGTAGTAGATGTACTGCTGATACGGATAAATTGATCGAGGATCAACCCACCTAGCGAACCCACGGTTTTCTTCGGACTCAGAAGACTACAATAAGTATGTCCTGTGAGTTGTAAGGGTATTCGAGAAACATATTTAACAAATGAAATATAATAGCAATTACCCATGCTCGCGAGCATTTGAAGAAGCGACGACCTCCGTCGATCCCCTCGGTGAACATCTGCACTAAGCAGTCCTCACCATGCATGCATTTTAGCTAATCTTCCTTTCTGTTATCGTATCCTCTGAGAGGGCACTATTTAGTGAAATCACTCTTGCTCTCGATGAAAAATTGATACACTGGTTCCTCAAAGAAATCAGGCCCAAGAGACCCCTCCCACACAATGGGAGTTCCCTTCGTCCCCCCTTTCCTCTCCCACTCCCAAAACCCTTTCCTCTAGATGACCTCTAGACATTTCTACTGTCGGGGACCTAATATTGGGGTACCCAATGAGGTGAAACTAATAACCATCGAACGTTGACACTTCCGGTCAGACAAGAACACTACTACGCTTCTTGCCCAAACGACAGAAGACTGGTTCCAACTCGCCCGACCACCGAGGGCTAGACTCTGCCTCGCCCAATGGCTAAGGGCTAGACTCCGTCTCGCCCGACCCTCGAGAGTTAGGCTCCGCCTCGCCCGATGGCTAAGGGCGGGCTTCGCCTCACCTGACCACCGAGGGCTAGACTCTGCCTCGCCCGACGGCTATGGGCTAGGCTCTGCCTCGCCCAATGGCTAAGGGCGGGCTCCGCCTCGCCCGATAGCTGAGGGCTAGACTCTGCCTTGTCCGACGGCTAAAGGCTAGACTCCACCTCGCCCGACGGCTAAGGGCTAGACTCTGCCTCGCCCAACGCCCGAGGGCGGGCTCGACCTCGCCTGACGACTGAGGGCTCGCTCCGCCTCGTCCGACGACTGCACCCTGATCCTTCGTAAAGACGAGCATATGGTACGATAGGACATTCGAGTCAACCGCGGTATCGAGGGCCATGCCCTGTGCGCCTACAGGAAGGTACCATCAGGATATGATGGGACAGGCGCTTTAAGCCCTTTCCAACATAACAGTGCCCGAAATAGTGTTGTAGGCGCCGACTTTTGTCCCACAGTGTAGTAGGTGCCGCCTTCAGCCCTTGGGCGTGGATACTAACACAGGCATACGACAACCGCTACAATCCAAGGAAGAACTCACATCATCTATAGTAACAGGCGCATAGTCATTTCCCCGTCTACCCCCCGCAGAGTCATGGCTCGGCGCCCTGACACCCCGCACTGTCTGCTGGGGGAGGACGGAACGTAACCACTCGCTGAAGCAAGGCCAGGGCATGGCCCTGTCGGGGTCAGCGGACGCGCTATCCTTGCCATGATCTACCATGACAGTGGAACAGGCTCAAAGGAAAAGGAAAGCTTGGCACCTCCGAAGGGCGACCACTACCGTAGGTTTTTTTCCTTTTTCTCCCATCTATAAACCCCCTGCTCCCCCTTGGTCTATAAAAGGGAGGGCAGGACACCCCACGAGGGGGGATCAGTTCGACACACACAACACATCACACATACAGCCAAGCAATGACCGAGCTCTTGGCGTCCTTTCGACCATTCTATCAGACACTTAGGACCTTTTCCTCTCTCAACCGTTTGTACCCCCTACTATGAACCTTTTTCGGTACTGATAACACGAGCAACAGTAGACTGGACGTAGGGATATTTGGCCAAAACCAATATAAACCTTGTGTCCTTTAGTGCACCATCCGGGCCTAACGCGCAACAATTATAAATTTACCAGCCGGTGTTTGTTCGAAACACCGACAGTTGGCGTGCTAGGTAGGGGCCTTTGCGCATTCCAAATCAGGCCTCGAATGGCTAGCCATGCAATCAGCTAGGTCCCGGGCGCACACATGCATTTTGATGACCTGGATTTCATCGTCATGGTAGGAAGAGAGTTGGCGCTGGCCCACGCCGCCATCCAGTCTCTCCCCTCCGTCAGCTTCAACAACGGGAGGCTTGAGCGCTAGCCCAGCGTCACCCTTGGACCTCAGCCGTCCAGGGAGGACCCACGCCGCCTCACCCTCTCTCCGAAACACTCCACACAGAGCGCCCCGATGGCGCTTCTGTTCGGTCTTCGCAACGCCGCGGCAACCGTTAGCCACCTTGTGGCACAGCGCATGATCATGTCCCCCACGAACAACGAGTTCGTGGGGATGATCGAAAGCATCACAAAATCCTTCCACGGCCTCCTCGCGGAGGGGCCGGGGTCAAACTCTAGCTCTGACTCCAGCAGGGGGAGCCATCACCCCTCTCGGGAATGTTTCATGGCAGAAACCCCAGAGGGACACATCGAAAGCATCTCCGCGGATGCGACTACCCCGGTAGGCAACCTCGATGACGAAACCGAAGGGGGAACAGTGGCCCCACCTCACGTAGGGGTGGAGCAGCTGAGAGCCCAAAAGCGG